TTGCCTTCACATCTCCGTTATACATATTTGGGAGAATCTACAACACTTCTAGTAATCATTGCAAATGACATGACAATGGAAGAAGAGAATAAATTGCTGGAGATACTCAGGCTAGACAAAACGACAATTGGATGGACAATAGCTGACATCAGAGGGATCAGTCCAACTCTTTGCATGCACAAGATTTTAATGGAGGACGGGTCAAGGCCATCAATGGAAGGACAACGAAGATTAAATCCCACCTTGAAGGAAGTGGTGAGAAAAGAAGTGCTAAAATTGCTGGATGCAGGAATAATTTATCCCATATCTAACAGTTCATGGGTGAGTCCAGTACATATTGTGCCTAAAAAGGGTGGAATCACAGTGGGGAAGAACGAGAACAATGAACTGATACCAACACGGTTAGTGACAAGGTGGAGAGTATGTATAGATTATCGGAGGTTGAATAATACTACCAGAAAGGATCACTTCCTATTGCCCTTCATTGATCAGATGTTAGAGAGGTTAGCAGGTCATTCTCATTACTGCTTTCTGGACTGATATTTAGGATACAATCAGATAGTTATTACTCTAGAAGACCAAGAGAGAACAACATTCACATGCCCTTATGGAACTTTTGCATTTAGAAAGATGTCTTTTGGTCTATGCAACGTACCTATAACCTTTCAATGGTGCATGATGGCTATATTTTCTGACATGGTAGAAAAGTACATTGAGGTTTTCATGGATGATTTTTCTGTGTTTGGAGATTCATTTGATGACTGCTTGGATCGGTTGTCTCTTGTATTGCAAAGATGTGAAGAGAAGAATTTGATGCTCAATTAGGAAAAGTGTCACTTGATGGTAAAAGAGGGAATAGTGCTAGGCCACAGGATATCATCAAAGGGCATTGAAGTTGACAGAGCCAAGATATAAGTGATTGAAAAATTGCAGTCTCCTAATTCAGTTAAGGGGATCAGAAGCTTTTTAGGACATGCAGAATTTTACAAAATGTTTATTCAAGATTTCTCAAAAATTACAAAACTTCTGTGTAATCTACTGAAGGATGTGTCTTTTCACTTTTCTGACGAGTGCTTAAATGCCTTTAATATTTTGAAAGAAAAGTTAACTTCTGCACATGTGATGGTAGCACCTAATTGGGATCTACCTTTCGAACTTATGTGTGATGCTAGTGAGTTTGCAGTGAGAGCGTTGCTTGGTCAACATAAAGGAAAAGTGTTACATGTAATCTACTATGCTGGCAAAACCTTGACAGATGCTCAGATCAACTATTCAACAATAGAAAAAAGAGATGCTAGCAATGGTCTTTGCCTTCGACAAATTTTGTTCCTATCTGATTGGTTCAAAGGTAATAGTCTACACTGACCATGCAGCCTAGAAATATTTGTTTGAGAAGAATGATGCTAAACCTAGACTGATTCGATGGGTTCTGTTGTTGCATGAATTTGACATCGAGATTCGTGATAAAAAAAAGGAACAGAAAACCAGGTAGCGGATCATTTATCAAGGCTAGAGCAACTGAGTGACTCAGATGATGTGGATATTAATGAGGTCTTCACAGATGAGCAGTTATTGTAGGTAGAAAAGGCTAGTATGAAGACATTGTTAATTACTTAGCTAGTGGCTATATGGATCTTGATCTCACCTATCAGCAGAAATAGAAGCTGCTTCATGAAGTGAAATTCTATTATTGGGATGATCCAAATTTATACAAGAGAGGGACAAACCAGATCATTAGGAGATGTGCGCCAGAGGATGAGATGAAACCTATCCTTTCATGGGTTCATGCTTTGGCTTATGGAGGACATTTTGGCCCCATTAAAATAGCAGCAAAGGTGCTTCAATGTGGTTTTTTTGGCCTACACTGTTCAAGGACTGCCACAGTTTCTGCAGGTCATGTGATAAATGTCATAGAATAGGTAACATATCAGCACCTCACGAGATGCCACTTAACAACATTTTAGAGGTGAAAATATTTGATGTCTGGGAGGTTGATTTTATGGGTCCTTTTCCATCATCTTATAACAATTGATACATCCTAGTGGTAGTGGACTATGTCTCTAAATTGGTAGAAGCTAAAGCATTGCCTACAAATGATGCAAGGGTGGTGGTGGACTTCATAAATAAACACATCTTTAATTGCTATGGATCACCTAGGGCCATAATAAGTGATGGTGGAACTCACTTCCGCAATCGGTTATTCCAAGTAGTGCTGCATAAGTACGGGGTACAACATCGAATTGCCACTCCTTACCACCCTCAGACAAGTGGACAGGTGGAAACCTCGAACTGACAATTGAAAAGAATTCTGGAGCTCACTGTGAATGCATCTCGCAAGGATTGGTCAAAGAAATTAGACGATATTTTATGTGCATATCGCACTGCTTACAAGACACCTATTGGTATGTCCCCATATCGACTAGTCTTTGAAAAAGCATGTCACCTACTAGTGGAGTTTAAACATAGAGCATACTGGGTATTGAAGCAGTTAAACATGGACTTCGAAAAGGCTGGAGAAACAAGAATACTGCAGCTACATGAATTGGAAGAATTCAGAAGAGAAGTATATGAGAATGCAGCCATCTACAAAGACAGGACGAAGCAATGGCATGACAAGAACATCAGGCAAAGAATTTTTAGAATGGGAGATCAAGTGCTTTTATACAATTCTAGACTTAAAACTGTTTCCAGAAAAGTTGAAATCTAGATGGTTCAGCCCTTTTACGGTCTTTCAGGTATTTCCCTACGGCACAGTTGAATTACACCATCCAACAAAAGAAAATTTCAAAGTAAATGGCCAACGTATCAAGCACTACGTGGAAGATTTTCCCACCGCTAAAGAGAGCCTTGACCTAGCTGTACCAGAATAAAAGCTGGACTTTAGTTAGAGGTCGGTTTGTTTGAATAAGTGTGTGATGAGGGGCATTGCACTAATCATGGTATATACATTTGAAAATTTTAAACTTCTCTCTGAAACCTTTATGACTCAAGTGATTAATTCTGTAAGGGTATCTTAAAACTTAGTGCCCTAAAATCGTCTAACTTGGGAGCCATCGGCCTAAAACTCGTTACAGAAGTCGTTTAGAAAGCAATTAGAGATGGAGTTGCACTTAAAAAAAAATTGTTCTCTTCCAAGCCTTTTTTACTCGAGCCAGTAAGCCTATAAGGGTATTTAAAAACATGGTGCCCTAAAATCATCTTGTTTAGAAGTTATCGACCTAAAGCTTGCTACAGGGGTCATCTAGAAAGCTTATTGAGATAATATAAAATAAATAAATACTTGTGAAAAATAGAAAAAAGCAAGTGCATGAAAAGAGCAAAAGCACTAAATACCTTGGTTAAGTCGTAACACTTATTTGAGGAAATTTGACTTTTGATATAAGATAATTAACTAGTTGAGTCTTGGAGGTCGAAGCAATCAAATAATTGAAAATTTCTTGTTCACTAAAGTGTTGACTTACAACTAGTAACGTCTAACTAAACTCGAGAGGGCAAGGAAAGTAATGAAATATTCAGCCTTAGATTACACACTAGGAAAGAGTGAAAAATAATAAGTTTGGGGGTGTGTGAATTTTGTAAGTGATGAAAGGACATATATGATCATTAAAGTTTGGGAATTGAAACAACTTATGCAGTCATGGTTGATTACTCGATTCTTCACACACACATATCAATTTTTGTAGTGGAAGAGTAGATATTAGTTTGGTACTGTGACTTTGAAGCATATTTATAAAGTAAACACTAATATCTTGAATCATGAGGTAAAAAGCTAAACTGATCAACCAAATATTTTTGCATGATTGTGTGTCTATTACTATTTAGTTTATAGTTTTGTTTGAGGACAAACAAATGTTTAAGTTTGAAGGTATTTGATAAGTGTATTTTATACACTTATTCGGTTCCTTAAATAGCGATATTTGATGGTTCTTTTGACAAATTATATCCTAAATGTTTGTCTTTTATGTTTAATAGGTGAAATTTTATGAAGGAAAATGAATTGACGAGATGAAGCAAAAAAGAGTGAAATCCAAAAATTGGGGACCAAGTTGTAACAATTCAATAGTTGATCCGGATCATGAATCGAAGATTGAAATGTTTGGAGGTCAAATTGAATATTTTGGAAGGTGAAGGACTTGAATTGAATCAAATAAGACATGGGTTGTAAGAATAAAAGGGCTCAAGGATTGAATTGCATTATCTTGAAAGATGGAGGACTTGAAGAATAATTTAACTAATAATGGCTTAAATTGGTGGTTGATTGGACATCTACATGCATGCATGAATGAAAAATCTTTCTATAAGTGAAATAAAGGGCTAAGACGGTTAGCAGGAGCTAGAGTCCTTTAGTTGGTAAACTATTGTGGGCAACTAAGTTTTTGGGAGATTATATATATATACACACACACATAAATACGCAGGGGAATTAGAGAGAGAGAGAGAGAAGTTCTTTTGTGATGCGTACAGACTAAAAAGTAGCAGAAAACTAATTTTATATTTTTACACTCTTTGATTGATTGACACAGACGGGGTCTTTGGAAAGAGAAATAGGAGGCAGTTTTGGAAGAGTTAATTGGAGAAAAACACGCAATAGATTCAATTTTACAAATTATTCACGTTCCGTCAAGTAATCCGGTGATATCTTCCATAAATTATTGTTTTTCTCTCATTAATACGCGTAGTTAAATTTAATTTTAAGCCGAACAATGTAACTGATTTGGGAACTTTTTTTTTCTTTTATTTGAGATTATTGTTCTTTTATATTTTATGTGTGAATTTTAATTATGTTTTTAATGCTTTGAATCTTTTGGTCAATTATTCAATGATTTCGTGAACAATAATTACGTAGAGATGCGAATTCTTGTTTAGACAACATATTAAAATCCAGTAAATTAATATAACGTGTAGAGATACATATATTAATTACTGCGGTCCTATAAAAATTCTTAGAACTGTTATTTCATTTAATTAAATTTAATCTGCATAGAGTTATGACATTAAACTAATTAAATAGGCTCAACGAGAACTCGAGAGGGGTAAGTTGAATACAATAGAAGAATTCGACCGAACGCTACTTTAATTTTATGAATCTTGATATTAGAAGTAAAGGTGACCAATAGGTGAATTTGTTCCGCCCTAATTTCCATTTATTATTTGAATTCTCACTAATTTTCTGTTGCATTCACAAAATTTTTAGTAGTTAGATTTAAAAATTACAGTCAATCAAATTTTTATTTATTTTCATTAAATAGAAGCTAGGAACAATAAATCGAGTACTAAAATATAGTCCGCGTGGGAACGATAATTCGGACTCAAAAGGTCCACTTTACTACTTGTTATGATCCGTCCACTTGCGAGATAAAATCGACAAGAAGTTTTTGGCGCCGTTGCCGGCGACTATTATGTTTAGTCTTAAATATTTTATTTATTTTATCTTTCTTTTAATTATTATTTGATTTGCTTAGTTTCTTTTATTTACAGAAAACTGTATTCATTGTATGCTCCGTGCCCAATGCGACGATCTTGAACCGTTTGATTTGAAAATAGAACGTACCTTCAGACGAAGACGCAGGGAACACAAACAAAAACATCAACATCAAATGGCTGACAACCTAAACAAAAATAGCAACATCAAATGACTGACAATCTAAAAAATCCTATCCCTATACGCCAATTGGACAAATGGCCGCAAGAGATCAACAACAAGAGCAAAGGGAAGTAATTGAAGGGTACTTTTCAGTTTCTATGTTTTTTACGCCTATAGGAGCACCCGCGCGGTCTCGCATAGTATATCCAGATTTTGGGAAAACAACTTCCAGATACGGGCTGATTGGATTAATTTGATGACCAACGCTCTGCAATTCAGCAGGTTACCTCATGAGAATCCAAACACACATGTCTCAAGGTTTCTCAGGAATTGTCAGAATTGTCATGCTCCTGGGTTAATGAAGACGCCATCAAGATGCGATTATTCCCATATACACTGAGAGATGCAGCATTGGAATGGCTGGATGTCGAATCGGATGGAAGTATTACCACATAGGAGGAACTGACCAGGAAATTCTGTAATAAGTTCTTTTCACCAGCTAAAGTAGCAAAAATCAGACTGAAAATTCAAACATTTCAACAAAAAGATGGGGAAAGCTATCACGAGGCCTGGAACAAATTTAAGGAGTTGATGAGAAAGTGTCCAAATCATGTGATCGCTAATGGAAATCAAGTGTGGTATTTCTACACAAGACTTTCACCACAATCCAAATCTCAAGTGGATTCCTCTGCAGGCGGATCGATCATAGAGAAATCAGTGCAACAATGTATGGATCTGTTTGAGTTAATTGCTACTACTATTTCCATGTTTTCATCAGAAAGAGTGGTGCCTCCAAAAGCAGCGGAAATATATGAATTAGACAGCACAGCATCTACCAACGCCCAAATAGCAGCATTGACAAAATAAGTAGAGTTATTGGTAAAGTCACAAACAAATGGAGCACATGCAGTGATAGCCGGTTCATCATGTGAAAACTGTGGGGCTAATCATCTAACAGAAAATTGCACATCTTTGGGATTTCCGGAGGAGCAAGTCAACTTCATTCAAAAAGGATCTCGAAATTTTAATCCCTTTTCACAAACATATAACCCAAGATGAAGGCAACACACAAACTTCAGATGGTCGGATAATCAGCAAGGAAATGGTTCAAACAATGCATAACGGAAGAAAAAACCAAGTTTGAGAGAGATGTTCAACTAGTACATGCAGAAGACAGACAAGGTGTTTCAACAGATTGACACTAACTTTCAAAATTAGCAAGCATCCATTAAGAAGCTGGAAACTCAAATTGATCATATAGCTCAACAGCCTGCAAAACGCCCACAAGGGACATTACCAAGCAACACAATGATCAATCCAAAAGAGCAAGTGCAAGCTATAACAACTAGAAGTGGGGTGCAACTTCCAAATTAAATTGACTGTTAAAAAACACAGGTCAAATTGTCTGATTTTCTATTGTATTTTATAATTCGATTTACAAGGTTCATATTTCAAATTCAAATTCAAATTTCAAATTTGAATTTCAAATTTAGAGGTAAAATTGATTTTTATGGATATAAATAAGGGGTAAATTTTTAAGTTCCAAATCAATTTGTTTCAATCGATTTTGACTTGCAGTATTATATATTCAAGTTTCAACTCCAATTTCTTTGCTCTCAATCTCATATTCCATTTCTTTTACTCTCACACAGTCATACTCTAATATTCTGTATTTTATACTAAACTAGTTATAGATGAATTTTACTAGTGATGAGTTTAATTAGTTCAAGGGTAACTCGAGTACTCCATCCGGTTACGATGATGCATCTCAAAAAGTTCCAATTGATTTGGAGAATATTGAAAAGGAAGAAGTACTCGAGATTAAAAGGTCGAAAAAAGAATTCCCGAATTGTTGGCAATATATGACACGTAAAAAAGTTGGTGTTCAAAATGGAGTGGATATTTGAAAAGAATGTTGCAATTACTATGGCAAAAAACTTAGTTGGAAGTCCGGTTCGAGCACAACACATTTGAATAACACATATTAAGGAGTTGTAAAGTGAAACCAGTCGATCTCGACTCGAAACAAATCGAACTAGTGTTTGATGATTCTTGTTCTACTCTTTCCACCTTTGTATATTCACACGAAAGATTTCGTGAAGGAATGACTGCATACGTGGCTGCAGCAGATATGCTGCTTACGATGATAGATTCAGTACACTTTACCCCTCTCATGCAGAGATATCTCCAACCCAAGTATATTTCTTATTGTAGAAATACTCTTCGTTCAAATACTATAAAATTATATAACAAAATAAAATAAGTTGCTATTGAAAGTCTAAAAACTTTTAATAGTGTTATATCATTTAAATCTGATTTATGGACCGGTGGTAATAGAAAATGTTATATTGTTGCTACGGCTCATTATATTGATCACCTGTGGCTTTTACATAAAAGGATTATTGCATTTAGATATGTAGAATATCCTCATAGTGCCACTAACATAAACATTGTTTCAAAAGATATCATACAGGAATATGATATACAATATATGGTTCGAAATTTTACTTTTGATAATGCTAGTGTGAACAAAGGTGTTATCGAAA